TTTGACTGTCTTAGTCGACTGGACTAAGATAATCACTAAATTCTATTTTTGCGAATGACATTATGTTCAAGAGCGAAATGCCAATGTCGAGGTTTGCTCGCCATGGCGAAAGGGCTGCAGGACAGAGTTGGTGTCGTTTTGTTCTTCCTCTGTTGAAGGAGCGCAAACTGCAGTGGTTTATTACATGGCAGGGTGCATAGCCACAATCTCACTACTGTGGCTTGTCTTTACATTCATGAAGGAGGTGTGCACAGCGGCCTGTTGATGTTCTGATGCGGTCGATGGTTCCACTAAGGTCTTCGCGGGGGAGAAATGTCATAGCCAGGAGGTGCAATGGTTTTGTTCTCGATTGAGGTTTTTCTTCTGGACATCCGCCTTGTTCTACTCTGCTCGCCAGCGTTCTTCCGGATCTGGGTGATATTCCAGGATGGTGACAGTGCAGTCCCAGAAGGGGGATCGGGACGTGAGTCGGTCGGCGGTGAGGTACATTGTTGAGGTCTTGGTTGATGACGATTGTCGGTGGTTGTCGTTGGCAAGAGAACGTGTAAGCTCCCTTGCAGTTTGCACGTCTCTGCGGATAGTTTTTAATTAATAAAATGAAACCCGCAAAGGTTGTCATCAAGCAGACTAAAATTGTCCATGGGGATAATACCGTACCCCCGTTAAATCACTGGACCAGCGCTTCTAATATCTCGGGTTACAATTCCAGGCACTCCCAGAATAAGATGAAACCGAGTGTTCATGTGTAGCAGATTTCACTGTCTCTCGACCGTCACAAATGGCTGCGCAAAAACACCTCTTGGGAGAATGTTTCGTGCGCTTATTTTCTCAAGGCCAGCCAGTTCTGCGGGCACGTGCGGGAGAGAGGCACAGAGGAAACCGCTTACTCATCCACACGGCTTCAGAGAGAGGGAGAGCTGTGAGTCGGTGGCTGCGATTGTCACCTGGCCGAGTTTTTGTTCCAGAATTGTCCACTTTTTGAGGCAACCGTCCTGGGAAATACGAAAGTCTTTCCAGGATGATTCAAAGTTCTGTTTTGTTTTCCACTGGTGTATGAGTACACAGCTCAAGACAATGCAGTTTACATGTAGTGCATTTTATCCCATGGTTTGTCCTGGTATTTTTTGTATCTCAAAAGGTCACTGCCCTAGTGGTGGTGGAATTTATCACACGAGTGCTTCTCGTTCGTGCGGATCCGGATGAGCCCGGCACTCTGGACGGGGAGGCTTTCCTGCGCGCACGTGCGGCCAGACGAAAACGAAACACACAAAGCCATCCGTGTGGCAGCGATCGAGAGAAAAGCTTGGCCTTGGAATAATGGTGTATGTGGCTCCGTGCTACCCTGCTGCATGTTTCCACCACAAACGCGTAATTGAGCATTCTCAGAAATGCGCAATTAAGCGCCGTTTTTGAAATCACAAGTTTGTCCCAGGCGTGAGAACACGCAGGCTGCCATTACGGCCACTCTTTTCAGGACTTCGCGCTATTAATCATTTTGTTTTCGGGAATGAGCTTCAGCGACGTTCGAAGGGTCAGAGCGAATGACATTTGCGTGAAAAGAATTTCAATGTTTTATAGTATGTTATTTCGCACCGTACGTAGCCAAACCGTGCTAATCGTAGGTGCCGGTGAAGGACAACAAACCAAACACAAGAAGCAGTTCTAAAGAAATTAATTTTCATCTAGATGACTTAAAAGTGCCTAGCTCCAGTGGCTTCCTAATATAGGTAGGAAGAGCACTCCAGTTGGCCACAGAAGCGCATCTGAAAGCGCGCGAAGCCGTGACTGTCATCATTCGATGGCCAGCCAAAAGCGGCTGTAACACATCATCAGCCATGATCAATCCACTGCTGGATGAAGGTCACCCCCAAGCCATCTTTCGCAGTTCAACGATTTGACAATCCTGAATCAGAATATTAATTTATGCTGTAACAATCCAATGAGCTCTAAAGCTATTTTCCACAGATGTCCAGTAATCCATTTATCACCTGCACACACGCTGATTTCGTCACCATTTGTGACCATCGGTCATCATCCCGTCCAGCGACGTGTCATGCCCAGCCGCCACTTTCCTCGTAAAACGAATACAATAATGCATTTGCCACTTTGTTGATCCACTGTTGGATGAAGGCCTCTCCGTGCCATCTCGGCAATGGGAGTTTTTTGACCAAAGGGAGAGGCGGGCTCGGTGGGGGGGGGGGGGGGGGTCACCAGGTCAGGTGTCGCTCCACCGATGTTGGTCTATCGCCAGGTATCAAACTCAGGTCACCTGCATCGTTGAGCAGTGTGCAAACATTGTGCCACCACTCCGCCATTAGCACATATGGGCTTTAAATAAAATGTAATTTTCATTCCCACAACTAGATGTAAAACATGATGATATACTTTGTAAAATCATGTTGTTAACGTTTAACATGGATCCTTGCAGTGCGTGTCTTGGTTTTCTTGAAAAGTAGTTTCAGCATCTTATTTTAAGGCATGCTCTAAATTGATGCGCATAGCTAAATAGACCCTAACAAAAAACTTCAAAGTGTCACCCTGTTGTGACTGAAAGCAGCTGTGAATGCAGTTTATAAAAAAAAACTAAAGTGAAAATGTGGTCCCGGGAATCAAGGCTTGTGTTTTCAATGGCCTTAGTCTTGTGTGACCTGCAACAAGATTTATTAGCCTTTCCAGAATGTGCGGGGAGGCTCTGTTTCATGGCAAGAAACGCCAATAAATGTAATATTGCTGGCGAAATCAGATGTGAAATGCATGCATTTGATTTATCTCCTAATGCTCGGACCGGTGCCGTATCTAAGGTGATTGACCCAGGGGAATGAGCAGGGCGGGCGCCAAGCCTCCTACAGCCCCCCCCGCTCCGACCTCCCCTGCCAGGCCCCCCACGGCTTCGCAACGCAGCGCCGAGGCACCACAACTGTGACCAGCGTCCACCGAGATGCCGCCGACATCGGGGTCGAGGCTGGTTCAACGAAACTAAACTTTATTTAAAAACAAAATTACCACTGAGCGATGTAGCTCTTTTTCAGATGCGACCCGGCCATCACAAATGATAGCTCAATTTATTTGCTTATCACGTGGACATTTAGAGCAGCCAAATTCCTCTAAACGTGTGATGTTGATTCTAGATGTAGAGGTAAAAACCGGAGGACCCAGATAAAAACCCACGCGACCACGTGGAAAAGAGATAGGCAAACTTCAAATATACAGGCGTCAGGGTCGGGGTCTCGTCATCGTGTCACCCCAGGGCGGCCAATGTGATAGGGCACACGACGATAGGGCACTTTGTACGTGTTGTGTACGCATGTTGTGTATTATGTTGCACGTGTTGAACTTCCTTCGCACCGTACGTAGCCAACTGTGCTAATCGGAGGTGCCAGGGAAGGACAACAAACTAAACACGAAAAGCGGTTCTGATGTAACGATTGTTTTTGTTCACTCTCGATGTATCATAGTGCACCTGCATGGTGGACTCTGCTGCTATTCTGCTCGAGGGCAGCGGATCCCAGGGGCTGATCGACGAGCAAGGCGGCGGGGAGTGTCGGCCCGACCGTCTGCCAACTCTGCTCACACCCCCCCCCCCCTCCCCCCCGTTGCATTAAATGTCGATGCTGACCTATCTCTCTCCGATGCAGCTTTCCCTCTGTTGACATTTGAAAGTGTCACAGTTTAGAAGGTTATCATGTGTAGATCCATACTGGCAGAGGCCGATATTAAGACATTAAAAACCGTAGCCTTAATAATTTCAGGTAGTGTGTGCATGTACGTATTAAAATTAGTTTTTTTTCATATAGACTGCTGTAAATGTTATAGAAAGAAATGATGAACGCACTATCACGTTTATCTTTGCCACAGTTTCGTAACTAAAACATCAATTACAAAATCAGGCGATTGGCTTAGGGAGAGTAAGATGCCAAGAGCTATTAGACCGATGTTTTCTCCTCCACAATTTAATTTATTTGAAGCCACATATTTTAAAATGCTCCGTGAACATTAAGCTACCGGCTGGTTGGAGGAAAGGCCGTAATAATCTGAAACATGATTTGGTGATGCTACTGCATTGGTAGTGGTGAACACAGCTCTACATATTCGTCTCTAACACCGTGGCCTTCAAATTAAACTTATACAATAGGGGCAATGGCCCTTCATTTATGTGCTATGAATAAGGGCCACAGCCCAAAACGTCACCTATGATATATTTTATTTTAATTTAAAGGCCACAGTGTTATTGACAAATGTATTATCTGAAACATCTTTGCCTTTTTAAAGTTATGATGTTGGTAATCGATAAATATTAAGACAGGACGTGCATTATGGTAGAGATAACACATGTTAATCATTCTCAGCGAAGCATTATATTTTTGGGGCAATTTGGCATTATCTGCAAAACCAATCCTCAACAATTTCTCGCGACTTTTGTCTCAGCTCTCGCTTCATTCGTTGTCCTGGTCACTGATTGTGTCTGTCCGGTCCTCTCTGCCACATCTGTCTGCAATCACAGGACAATGGCTTTCATCATGCCATTGTGGTCATTTTGCACGTATTTAATTTTGCACGTGTTTAATGTTTAGTAAATTCCTTTTAAAAAGTTTTTTAACGGTTTTATTAACAACTTCGTTTAACTCACGGTCGAGAAGTACGTGAATGATGCGTCGTCGGCTCCCACCTCAACGCTGACTTGAATTAATGTATTACTTCCGTAACTGGTTCATGCGGAGTATACGATTCGAGAGTTTAGGGATCGCGGCGTTTTTTACCTACACAAAACGATATATAATAAGGCGTCCATACAAAATGTAAATTGCTTTAAAGTAGCGAATTAATTTATTAACTGATGCCGATTTTGATACAGGCATGCATTGTCACCGGATCTGAGCACGTGTGCAAAATTTGGAATTGATTGGACAACAGGAAGTAGACTAAATGTTGATTACAAGATTTGACCACGACACAAGAATCACGTTAAGTAAAACCGTTGAAAAAAAGCAAAGCGGCAAACACTAATTTAGAATCTTTATTCATCTCGTAAAAACTTTAAAATAGCTCAAATGCAAACTGATGGAATTCACACAACACATTAGCAACTTTACAACTAAAACTAGAACAGCTTAATGCGTCAGCGAATGGACACGGAAACAGATAAAAAATAAACAGAGGCAAACTATGCTAAAAACAACGAAAACAGCAACACAAACAAAAACCCCACAACGCAGTGAATGTGCGCTACAGTGAGGCCCATGTTCTGCCTGTGGTCATCCGGCGTGAGGGCTGCATGGTGCTCACAGGCCGTGCGAACCCCCGGCATTATTTTCCAAGGATATTCCCATCGTTTTCCACGTATCGGTGGTTAAAAATCCACGTCCGTGTAAATTATTTTTTTCAGGATCGTTAAAACGGCAGTTGCGTAATGTTGGATTTGGCCACTCGCTACCGATCCGCCTTGTTGCGCTCCGCAGTCGCCCGGGAGTCGCGCTTTTACACCCCGCATGGAAGAAGCCCATGCGGGTTCTGTGTCGCGAAATGATTGTGGTTAATGAGGTGCTGGGCTGGTTTTATGTGGCATCAACGTAACACGGGAACGTACTTTGAATGCTGCTCCAACAATGACTACATTTGCACACACGCACGCACGCAACGGGCAATAATAATGTTGGCCTCTTTCTTTCACGCGCGCTCGTGTGTGTGTGTGTGTTATAAATTGAGTATATAACGTGATGGGTTTTTGCACGTAAAATTCCTGCAAGGAAAGTATTTCTCGAGAAAAAAGAAAAAGCATCCTTATTTTACCGCCTAATAAATAGATAAATAAATAAATACATCTCCGTCGTCTTGAAGAAAACGCAGTGTTTCCTCGGGAAGCAGAGAGGCGTCGGTCCACGCTCAAAGTCGCACGCCAACAGAACCGTGGCGGGCAGCGGGAAAAACACGTTCCACCTGCGGGTCGGCTCGCCCCACGCGATCAGTCGTACAGGGAGCAATGACACATCGGGCTCGCAGCGCTCCAGTGGCACTCTGTGTAGCGGGAGCGTGGCGTGGCGCGTTCGCTCGCAGCGTCGCGCAGTAGGCGCTCACGAGTGGCGTTTGGCGGGGCTGCAATGACAATTAGCAGCAATTCGTTCATCATTTGACGGTGGCTACCTTTGGTGACCTTTGGCTAGATTTGGTTACATCCTTTCCGCTGCACATCGGGCGACAGCGTCACCGCTGCCCCTCAAATTTGTTTCGTTTATGTTTGCCACAAAGAGGAGTGCAACCTGATATGATTTACTTCCTGTAATTATAACGTGGTGACTTTATGCAAAAACAGGTGCTAACCATGGGGAGGGTGGAAATATGTCACTGTACATAAGTATATATAATATACGTACATACACAAATATGCATACATACATACACACACACAGTAGAACCTCATTATAATGGCTGGACAGAGGAAAGGAAGGCTTTGAGTGAGTTACGGTATTCGAATTTTCCCTGTGTCAGGAACAGGAGTGAGGTCCCTGTTATAACGGCAAATACTTTTTTTTACAGAGGCGTATTAATCACCACCACCGAGTGGAAATGCTGTGGCACCGTTTGTACACGTCGGCATGCCCTTGGCAGGCACGGTCCTGGGCTGGTTTAGGTCATGGATTTGAGGTGGTTAGGTGATCTGGAAATTGCAAAGCGCGTGTGTATATATGTACGTGTGTGCGTGCATGTGTTTAACACAACGCATACTTATAAAGGGTAAGAGATAACGAGAGGTGAAGTCCCATTGCCTCTGTGTATAGGGGCGACAGGTGTCCATTCTATAGCATTCCTTTGTTATTAAAGAATTTACAATTAGACAGCTGCTCGTTTGAATATTTCATCGTAAGATGCTGGCCCCTCTAAACCTCCACGTGGCCGCCGGGCGTCACGTCGGGATCAGAGAGAGTCACCAACGTCTGAGCCGTGATATTTTCTAATGTAATGATAAACAAGATCACTCAAAGTGTTTGGTAAAACAAAAACCCACGACTGTGTACAGCGAATACGGAGCCAGCATTTCAACCCAACGGTTCAACCCGCTGTCTGTAATTCTTTAACAACAGACGATAACTTTATGGACACGCGGTATATTCAGCAATGCACATTTCTGGTTCGTGGTGCTCGTTATAACAGGACATATAACAGGACACTGTATCCAGATTTGCCATTATGGGATTTTACTGAATATAAAGGTCTCCAAAGTGTTATTTTTCAACATGACTTACACTGTCAAACTCTTTATGAAGCCACGTGTGTCGATGCATCTACAGAAAACCTCAATTACTTTTTTTTCCCTATGAGAGGATGTTTTTTTACATTTTTTTGCATCACTCTTCATGACTCATTGGTACCGGTGGGATTAAAGCAATGTGTTACCTACGTGGACCGAACAAAAGACATCATACTCAGAGAGAAGCAATCCATATCTCGTTGAATTGTCACAGCGACTGCACGGCTCTCCAGAGTCCACGGCCCTTCGCTTGACGATCGCGCTTCGAGCAGTTTTAAGCCGTAAATATTTACACTATTTGTTTGCATAGCAAAAAATCTCTAATAGCCAGAAGTAGAAAACTGCGATTGCAACTAAACCGAGATTATAAGACTTTGTAGCTGGCACATCGACGCCTCGTCAGCTACATTTAAAAAATAGATCTCATCGTCCCTCACAGTCACGTGCTGCTGCTGCTGCTGCTTCTTCTTCTTCCTCCTCCTCGAGTTGCCGCCGGCCACTGGCGCCCTCGGCGCTCACACCTCCGACTCGTAGCCCGAGAGGTGCGCGTGCGCGTACTTGAAGTCTGACCTCTTGGACAGAAACGACATGGGCAGCGTGTGGTGCTTCATGGACAGGGCGGAGCCCTTGCCGTCCCTCCGGCGGCCCTTTGCCGGGCCCCCCTGACTTCTGGCCGAGCCTTTGGCCTCGGGCGTGCAGGGACACACGGGCGGCCCCGACGACCTGAAGCTGCCCGTCTCAGCGGAGCGCCTGTGGCAGCGCTCCAGGCACACCATGGAGCGCGACGCGGCCTTCTGCCCGCCGAGGCGAGCGGCCGCCGGCGCCCAGTAGGGGCACCGCTCGGCGTGCGCCTCCTCCCGCCCCCCGTCGTGGAAGCCGCCTCTCCTCCTGCCGGCGCCGGGGGAGCCTCCGAAGCGGTCGTCCGAGGCGGTGGCGGCGGCGCAGGAGCCCCTCTCGGAGGCGGCTTCGTCGTCGTCGTCGCCGCACCCCCCTCCGCCCCCGTCGTCCTCGTCCTCGTCCCCGTCTTCGTCAGCGCCGGCGACGTCGTCGTCGTTGATCGTCATGCCCCTCGTGCAGCTGAGAGGTCGGCGGTAGTGTCCCGGGCGGCGCGGCGGCGGCGGGGCCGGCGGCGGGACGCGGCACGCCACCTGCGGCTCGCTGGAGCAGCACGAGGGCGGCGTCTCCTGGCTACCGCCGCCGCTCTCGTGCGGGATGAGGTCCACGTCGGCGCTGCCGGGCCCCGCGTAGCGCGGCGGGCCCTGCGGCGGCCGCGCGGGCGGCGGAGACAGCGACGCCACGCGGCTCGGGGCCGCCCTCTTCGACTTGTGGGCCTGCGGGGGCAGCATGTCGTACGTGCTGTGCAGCGCACACCTCCACGGTATGCTCTGGCAGCTGCCGCCGCCGCTCAGCGAGGTTGCGCCGGTGGCCGCAGCCCCGCTGCCACCTCCTCCTCCTCCTCCTCCACCGCAGCCGGGTATCGTGGGAGCACCGCCCGCGCATCCCTCCCCGCTCTTTTCGCTCGCGTAGAGCCAGCTCTCCCCGTCCGTCTCCCAGCTGAGCTGCTGGCGCACGCCGGCGCCCAGCCCGTAGGGCAGCGCGTCGGCCGCGGCGCCGGCCGTGGCGGCCGCGGCGGCGACCGTGGGCTGGCCGGTGGAGAAGAAGTACGGGCGGCCGACGGGGGGGAGCGGCGCGGCAAACCGCGGCCGCCCCCGCGGCGCCCCGGCGCACACGGCGCTCACCGCGTCGCCGCAGGCCGCCTCGGCGAAGCTCGCGACCTGCCGCTGGGCGGCGTCCGCCCCCGCCGGGTGCAGCAGGGGGTTCTGCGCGCACGACGGGGGGCCCCGGTCGGCGTCGGGGGCCCCCCCCTGGCCCCCGCCGCGCTCGCGCCTGCCGCGGAAGACGCCGCGCGCCGCGCCGAACAGGCGCCGCGCGCGGGGCTCCTCCGGGCGCGCACCCTGGGGCGGGGGCAGGTAGTAGCGCCGCTCCTCCACCATCTCCACGCCGTAGAGGCAGCTGTAGATGCCCTGGAGGTGGAGAGGAGACATTCGGTAAGGTCACGCACGAGGGGGGCGAGTCTCGGGTTGGCGTTGAGGTGGTTTGTGCGGAGGGTGGCAGAAACCGATGTGTGAACAAAGATTCGTCTACTCTGCTCCGGCCGCTTCCCTGGGGCGGCTGCCGTTGTGTTGTGGACACGGTGGCCTTGCGCTGCGGAGGCGAGGGGTGGTGGATCGTGTCGGGTGAACAAAGCGGCGAACCACGAGAAGTGCAGTTGGTGGATCACGAATTTTTGTGAAAGTCCCAAACCTGTGGAAGTTAGCTCTGAGGAGATGGCAGGAGAGGCATCATGGTCCAAAATTGTCACATTTGTAAAATTACCTACAACTTCCTGTGTTAGGATGACACATAGCTATCATCGCCTCTTTCGCCTCTTACTGGCAAATATGACAGGGCAGGACTCTCGTGAAAGAGAGTTCACGAGACACAGTCAAGCTTTTCTTGGGTAAAAGAGAGCCACATTGAACTGACATTGAATATACTCCTGAAAACATTTTTTTAAACGGTTTTATTAACAACTTCGTTTAACTCACGGTCGAGAAATACGTCAATGATGCGTCGCCTGCTCCCACATCAACGCTTACTTTAATTAATTGATTACTTCCGTAACTGGTTCACGCGGAGCAGGCGATTCGAGAGTTTAGGGACCGCGGCGTTTTTGACCTACACAAAATATCTATAAATAATAAGGCGTCCATACAAAATGTTAATTGCTTTAAATTAGCGAATTAATTTATTAACTGATGCCGATTTTGATACAAGCATGCATTGTCACCGAATCTGAGCACGTGTGCAAAATTTGGAATTGATTGGACAACAGGAAGTAGACTAAATGTTGATTACAAGATTTGACCACGACACAGGAGTCAAGTTAAGTAAAACCGTTGATAAAGGGGTGTGACATGCACAACCCGATCCACCCGGTGCCCACACCAATACAAACAAAGGATGATCCAAACTGGAAATGGAAAATGTCATCTGTAGAAAACTATTAATGAATCCAAACATCATACCTCGTTCCAGACAAACCCTCATCTGCTTGTTGGAGGATTAAATGCCCTTCAGATTGCTCTCATGACAGTCCAACGCCTTCCTTTCTTTTTACCCAAACCTTGAATCACTTTGTCAGAGCCTGGGTAGGCGCGCTACGATCCCACAGCTACTTCCAACCCCACCCCATCCCCCACCCCCCCTTGCAAGATCACACTGATACGAATCAATACGCGTGCCGTGTGTTTCATTTGCCTGCGTGCCGTCTGCCGGCTCCCCCAGTGAGTCTGCCGGCACCCCGAGGCGGAGGAGGGATTCAACGAGTCGAGATAACCTATGGAGCACTTAGGGTTGGCATTATAGTGGCAGATCACAAGTGTCGATTGCCGCCTTGATTATTTATCTCTCGGGTTAAATTTGGATAATAAAAAAGGCGGCAGCCTTCAAAACTGCACATTTTTGTAAAATGTGAATGAATAACTTTTTTTTTAAGTTCATCTGATATCATCAGGATAACGCTCTGCGACTGGACCCAGAAGCAAGTCTGTCTGTATCACAGCTGCAGGGGCATTACCGTAAGTGCTGTTTTCATTTGGATCGCCACTTTATTATAGACTGCCCTTTGCCACGCCAACAAGGTTGCACTTGTCGTCAAGCGTGCACGCATTCACAATAGTCACCAGCTAAATTATTTGGTTGTACTAGCAGATATAAAATGACGTTTCAATGCTTATAACTTGCTGAATTTATTTGTGAATGTAAAGTAATCGCAATCGTGGAGTTGGCCGGGTGGCTCAGAGATCAGAGAAATCAGTCGGCAGTGCTCAGGTTCTGGGTTCAAAACCAGTTTCAGCTCCGGTGATTAAACCAGGTACTCAAGTGTAGCGATTCCATGGTCTCAGCCCAGTTTTCGATTAATCGCAATGGCTGTTCTTGGTAAGTGGTCAGCAGCAATGGATTCCCCTAGTTTTCTGTCCTCTGCGCTTCCAAATAATTCTTCTGTTTCAAGATTGCTCCACTTATTTATGTTGTCAATCAGTTTCCTTGGTGCCCTCTTGCTCTTCATGGATAAAGATAGATGCGGTCACACATGACGACAAAAACCCATTACATTCAATTTGGGGTTTCACTTCTTATTTCGTATGGCAGGGTGGAAAAGCATCAGTGTCGAAGCGTGTTCGAGTTGAATACTAAGTTTTTTCAACTAATCCAAGGAGGCTGTGGACCCTGTGTGGATCGCAGCGACAGTGCCAGGATGTGCATGGATGGGGCGTTCGTCGGTGGTGCGTTCGGTGGTTCGAATTTCACTCGTCATGGCTTGGGAATTATTTGACCTTCCATTTGTGGAAGGTGGACATGCATCTCCCATGCTGCGTTCGAGCAGCACGGTTTAGTGAGGTCCACGGTGTTCGTGGAAGAGAGAAGCCCACTGCTTTCACAGTCGGCTCCTCAATGCGTTTTGTGTTGTTGGCCACATCCATAGCCGCCCAAGATCCTGTCCAGTGAGTGCCGAGGGGGGTTTTTTTCCGGCTGCTAGAGCGGAGGCGCGCATCCAGAAATGTTTCCTGGATTTCAGCCGATGGCGTGGGGGTTCTTTTAGGTGTTGTTGGTGCAGCCGAGCGATGTTGTCCATAATATTTCCGTACTCCTGGGTAGTCGCAGCCTCCGTTTGGATGCTGGCTAGGGGCGATGTTCGCCAGCACAGGAAGCCACGGGAGTGGAGTGGGATTCAGGGCGCCACTGATGCTATGAAGTGCAGTGTTCATTTCGGTATGAACGACGTTTGTGTGACAACTAGCACTCCACATTGCAGCGTAATACTACTCCGCGGTGGAGTGGACCAGAGCTTGCGTCGATATCTTCAACGTGCGAGCGTCGCTTCGCCACGTTGTTCCTGCAAGTTTTTGAAGAATGTTCACTTGTGTTATTGTTTTCCTCTTGGCTTGTTCGAGGTGGTAGTTGGGCGTCAGGTCTGGGGTAACTCCTAGGTGCCGGGGATGGTGGTCGTGTGTTTGCGGGGTTCCACAGAAGTTGACATTTTATGTTTTTGTGGCTTGGCTGTTGCTAAGGTGGAAGCCGGAGACAACGCTTTCGCCGGCATTTTGGCCAGCGGTTCCAATTCCTTAAGTTCACTTCTTGGGTCTTTCGAGCATTTTCGAGGACTTTTCCAGTGTGCACTATTTTCCGGGCTTGGGTTGCCGGCGCAATGTCATCCGCATATATCAACTTGCGGGAAGATGTCACCAGAATGTCGCCGGTGAAGAGATTGAAAAGTGCTGGGGCAAGAACAGATCCCTGCGGGAGTTCAAAGTTCAATCTTCTTGGGCTTCTGGCAGCTTCACCGAGGTGACCGGTGAACCATCGATCGCCCAGCGTTTCTGCGATGAGTCTGTTATCGGGCAGCAAGGCACGGCTGTTGCAAGCTTCTGCAGGAAACCCGTTCGCCATATGGTATCTTATGCTGAGGAGACGTCGATGAACGGCCTTGCTTTTTTGAGCTGATGGTCAAAGCCTGCCTCAATGAGGTTCATGAAAGCAAGCGGTTTATCGCAGCTATTTTGGTCACTTCTGAACCCAGCTTGTTCCTTAGAGACTATATCCTGAAGCGTAGGCTTCGGCCTTTGGAGCAGGAGTCGCACCATTACGATATTCTGAGAAGGGAAATCTGGCAGTAGTTTTCTTCATCGCCCTTGAGGGTTTTAACAATGGATATAATCTTAGTCACTTTTCACTCGTTTGGTACCCTGCCTGAGGAGTGGATGTCAGTGAGGAATGTGGTCATTTTGTCGCTCGTGATCCCAAGTTCTTGATTTATTCTAGATACATTTCAATTCCATCTGAGACCTGCGGCTCTGAGGATTGCTTGTTTGCACATCTCTAAGGGGCATTAACATGTGTGTCCTAAGCGTGGATGAAGAGGTCTACTGGTGTAACATCAACAGTAGTTCTGTTTTGGGGCTGTTCTCTGACACAGTGGTACATTGCTAGCTGCAATTGCTTTTTTTAAGCCGACTTAAAATTCACATCTTTTTAAACAATCTGCAGTCAAGATGTGTATTCTATTATTCTATAACCTCCTAATTCCTTTGACCCTGATAAACGTAAATCTGACAATGCCGGCGTTACTTTTCTTTTAACAATATCAAATGTGGAACATAACGGTCAACAAATCATGGACTTGACAGGCAGGATCAGTGACATAAGTGATTAGCACACCGCAATGTGATCTTGGTGGCCTGAGTTTGATTCCTGAATATGGCTAACGTCAGTGGTGAGTGTTTTATCTTAACTGGTCCTGTTAAGACCAGCATGATGAAGTATGGTACAGGCAACTCCCACGACTGGCACGGTGTGGGGAGATCATCATCAAGCAATGCATCAGCAAAGAGATGTGAATGATTTGTATTTTGCATATGCTCACGTTTGCTTATGCACCACTCTTAACACCGCCGCTGATATTTTGTTTATTCATGCATAATGTTTATCTTGGATCTGAAGGAAGTTGAAATGAATTTGTAAAATGTTCATCTCGTCATTCCCCTCTGAATTATACGCAAAGGTAAAAACAATATAATTATCAGATTGTAAAATCATTAACAAATATATTTTTTATGGCACAGCAGCCATTTTAGACCACTGTTAATTGTGTACCATAGCAGAGTTATTATGCAAAGTGCACGGAGTGTTTTGTAATGCAAATGCAGACTACAGACAAGAACTATGTCTTTTGAACGCTTCAGCTGCTCATTTAAATACATTTTTGAAGAGCTCACATACCTACAAAACAAACGCAAAAATCCCTATTTTCAGTAAACCAAACATATCCTCAAAACAATTTATATGTAAAACTGAATAAAAAATGCCTAAAACTTAAGCAAATTATTGAACCATTGCAGTTATTTAGAGTGCATCAGATACCTTCATGTGATCACCAGCAGCAGCCATGATCTATCCACTGCTTAATAAATACCTTCCCAAG